AATAGCTGCACAAAAGAGAAAAATCAGGGGAGGGAGGGAGGGAGGGAGGGAGATCCTTGGTGTCACACAGTCATCTTTAAGACTATAAACCAAACAGCTGAGGCCCAAGCAAGGCAACCAAATAGCTACAAGATTTCAGACGCTAAAAATATAATTTGAGAACAATCATGTTTGAAAGTAAAGGGTTATGCTGGCTAAATTAAGAGTGTTAACATCCTGTTAGAGCATGGTTTTAATCTCACAGTGTGAAACACAGATGCTATGGCAACAGGCAGTAAAGGGTTAACATAATGACAGACAACTATCAAATAAATGAAACTCAGTTCCTATGAAGCTGTTGCTAAATTAGACTTTAACCCATGAATACGAGGCGTTTTTATTAATAACTATATTTAAAATACTTTCTGCATACAATTTAAAGGGCCAAGTTTGATGGCCTGCTATGATGGTTTCCAGTCTACAGACCCCTCCAAGTCAGTGTACTCCCACTAAGGGGTTTGCAGACAATAACTAAGTAAATCAAACCTGGTCTAACAGGCTTAAATTCACTCTAATGGGATTCATGTGCCCATGGGAAAAATACTGGGGGGATCCACAAACAACAAAATTTGAAAATTGCCATCTACTACATTCTACATGAGCAAAAGTTATGCTCAAATTTCAAGATATTTAGGAAATCCAAATTAATACCCTGAATCCCATACAGAGAAGAGGAGAGCTTTTACTCAGATTTATAACCCTTTAACCAATTATGCTGGAGTGGTACCGTTAATATGGAAAACTGACCATGACCTATCACTTTTCAGCTACTGGATCCACACTGCCAGTAGCTGAAAAGTGATCCAGTACAATACACTTGAAAACAAAGCAAAAAGAAAAAAAAAAAAAGAAGAAATAAAAACACCCCACAAAACAACAAGAAAACAAAAACTCAAGCAAAAGTGATATCACAAAATGGAAGACGGCTCAGGAAGATGAGCCAATTGAAGTTTATGGACACTGATCCAAAGGGCTAAATTTGTAATGTAATCTACCTACTTAAGAATTTTGAGCATGAAGTTCCTTTTATTTCATGCTTTCTCAGCAGCCACGTAGGTCTTCTGCTATGTTTCAGTACTCCTACCTAATGTGAGGGGGGGTGAATGTCACATTTGGAGTGGTTTATACTCTGCATTTTCTTCATTCCCAGTATATTAAGTAGTGTCATTTGTTTAAAGAAATTACTCAGCTTTTCCCCAGCACTATTTAGCTTCCAACTAAAACAGTTTGCTTGCAAAGAATGTAGCCTGCAAAAGGCATGTAGCTTTTAAAAAGCTACTGCTTTCACCATGATTTATAATCCAGATCACTCCTTTGTTTTCCCCCACTGCATTCTTTGTCCAGTTAATTACAAAAGTAACTGGATGTTGGCACTAAATAATAATGGCTAATCATATTCATCCTGGGCAATTCAAATTACTCTTTAGTAGCCAGAAAACTTACAGTGCAATTATATGATTAACTGCTAGTTATATTAGAATAATGGCCATTTGCTACAAGCTGAATAAACCTCAGCTACATTGCTTCATACATGTCCTGTCTAATTGTGATATTAACAAGATCCAGTCCAGTCAAATCTTGGGGAGAAAGCAGACGTGCTTTTTCCCCTGTGTCTGTCACTTGAACAAAACCCCACATTCCATTTCTGTCCCGAACAGCAAAAAAATCAGCAGAGTGCTGCTTATTATGCAACCTAGGAGAGTGAGCGACAACACCATACCTTGACAAAGCACCAAAAAACACATGAAATTCTTCAGCTTGGCTGAATTTGCTTTACTTAGATGGAACAAAGATGGCAGAAATTTCCAGAAGGCCTTTCTCAGCCCTGCCACTGCAATTGTCAATCTGTAACCTGCCTGCTGCAGCAATTGGCTCCGGCGCTGGCGGAGCGGCGCGATTGGGCTGAGCTGAAACACAGCGCTGCTGCCCCTACCTTGCCTCAGACATCTTGCTGCAATGCAGACATTTGTTTTTTTGTGAACTATAAAAGAATTGCATCCGAGTGATTAAAAATAGTGAACTTTTAACAGGCCGGCGACGCTCCGGTCCGTTACCCGCGCGAGGGCAGCCCAGACAAATGTGCTTCACTGTCAGCGGCGTGTCTGGAGGTGCAGATTTGAAACAGATCCTGGTTTAACAAAACCTGGGGGAGCCATTTTAACACAGGCTTTCTGATTGCAGATCACTCGCTCCTGCTTCCTCATATTAAACGAATATTACGTTGTTCGCTCTTCGAGACTGAAAGTAAACTGCTAGATGTGTATGAACTGCTGTCAGGAAAATTACGCCCAAACGTAATTTTTGGTCATTTGGCAAGGGAAGAACAAAAACCAGAATAACTTCTTAGCTGTGTCAGCACTTTTGAGTATGCTGAAAAATGCACTAAAATTGCACACAAAAATGCTATCACATGAAATCCATTGGTACCCCAGCAGTGTTTCAGGTTGCAAACTGAACAAGACATTTTTATAATCTAATCCTGGGGGATGGGGGAAGGGGGTAGCGGGAGGAGGGGGGGGGAAGCTGTTAATCAAAGTAAGACAGTCAAAGTAAAATACTCATACTGGTAAACAAGTAATTTGCTATGGTATAGAATGTTATCAAATCCATGGCAAGGGTCTAGGAAAGTCAGCATGTACTGTGGCTCAGTGCAGTCATCTGCAAAGCTAGCCTAGCTCTCAGCTCTTCCCTAAAATCATGGATGTGTGTGTGGACTGCTAAAACAAGTGCAAAAATCACATTAAAAGCACAAAAGCGCATCCTTCCTCTGCTTTTGTAACAGCCCTGGTGATCACTGAAAAACAGCTTGCTCAAACAAGCATGCAAGCGTTACAATTAAATTCTTCATAAAGGGCACAAAATGTTCTAAATTAGCTATAAATCGACCAAGTTTGTCTGAGATTACACTTCGTATAGTATCAGAAACATATGCTCATTAAGCATTATTTACTTTACTTCATAAGGTCACTTCATTGCTGAGCACTAGCACTTTCATCACACTGAAAAGCCCAAGGAACGGCAAAAATGCGCTTTACCCTGCAAACATGGTAATTAATGATCTATGACCAAACAGCAAGTACAGTATTTTTCACTGGCCTGAGGTAAACAGGAAGTAAAAGCTTCAAAATTTAGAGACAAATTATTAAAAAACCAGTGCATTCAAACTGAAGAGCTTACATGTACAAGTCCCTTAAAATGGATGCTAAGCAAATCTGATTTTTTTATATGACTAACCACTAACGTTACTTCATCTACTGCACTAACTGACCCAGTAAAAACAAAATGTTTGGAAAACTATTAAAAATGTTCAGAGAGTAGCATGCTGCTTACTTACCAACTGTTCAAGCACTCATCTCATTTTTCCAGTTAAGAAGATACAACAGGCTGGCAGATTTGAGAATTGATCAAAAAGGCATTTCTTGAAACAATTACGTAGCATTAAACCAAAAGTTTAAAAAAAAAAAAAAGGAAAAAAAAAACCAAGAAAGAACAACATGTACTACTGTCATGAACCACACATGATTTTACATCTTCTGGACTCCACAACACAGAACTGTGGCTGACACAATATAAAACAAAAAGGCACAGATAAAAGGTACATTAGTTTATTTGAACTATGTAAAACAAGAAGGCTAACAGTTCAAAAGCATTTTCCATAAAGCATCAGATTTGTAAACAGATGCACTGCTGCATTTTACTGAGCAGCACCCCATTCCCAAAATCTGCAGCATAAAAACTCCCTTTTAAAGGAACAAAATATTAACCATACATTGTCCTTCTGAAAGAGAAACGCGTTGCATTAATTACTCCTGCAAGAGAAAAGGTTCAATAATCATTTTAAGTTAAGATAAGCTGCATAAAAAACATGATGCAACAGCACACCACCACCTAGGCCCAATATCTACAATCTGCCATTAGCACTTTTTGCTGATGTCTAGGTTTTCAAAAATCCCATATTTTCTCAGAGATAACTTATCTTAGCTGTTCCATTCACTGTTTAGAAAGGTAAACTTGCCTGTTCTTCTGTCTGCCATTATCCCTGCTTGACTCCCTGTAGGGCAGTTAAATGCATCTGCTCCCTAGCTTCCATTTTCTCTCCAGCAGGCATGTGACACAACAGACAATAGTGCTGGCAAACTGCTCAGAGACAGAAAGCTCCTTTGGAATACCAGGATCTTGATAAACTCTAAAAACACCATCCTCCTGTGAAGAACTAGGTATGCCAAGGCTTTGCCAGACTGTAAAACAAAGCTGTGGCTAATGGCTACTAACCATGTGACCCAAGAAAGCAAAAATTTTAAACAGTTCCAACTCAATATAAGTGCCTGTGGTGTGAGTTTTGCACGAGAAATCACAGAGAACCACGCTCTCAACCCACAACTCATAGGCCTTAGAGAAAAAGCAAGGTAAAAAGCAAGGCTTACCTCTGTGGATGCATTGTTAACACAGTGTTATGTCAATACTTATAAAACATGGAGGACAGGCTCTCAGTACTCGGGCAGGGAGGGCTTGGCACTCCGGCTTGATCATCTGTCTGCCGCATGAGAGCCGCGCCCGGATTGGCCGCCGCGGCGAATCCGAATGTAAAGCGGCGGGGGATTGGCCGAGACACTTCCTGAGCGATTATCTTTGTGCGGCTCCCGGAGCAGGAGCCATCCCGGGCGCGGGGCAAGGCCGGCGCGCTAGGCCCGGCCCGGCCCGGCACAGCCGCCGAGCCCCCGGGCCGCCCTCCCCGCCGCCGCCACACCGCCTGCCCGGCACGGCCGAGCGGGCCCACACTGCCTGCCCCAGCAGATGTGCCTCAAACACGCCGTTACTTGAAGGCGTTCTAAACCTGGAGGAGGGAAAGAGTTCGCCCCGGCTCGCCAAAAGGGGAAAAAAAAAAAAAAAAAAAAAAAGCCGCCCTTTTGTTCGGCGCTGAGTTCGCTTTGCTGGTGCCCTCACGTCAGAGCAACACTTACCCGAAAGTGAACATGCTCAGCGGGGACTGAAATTAATGGGCTCGGAATTCAGAGAAGAGTTCTCCTGTTCCAGAATTTAAATATATTGACATGTGCCGCTGCGACCGCGTACCTACACTGTGATTTCTCTAGATAAGCTGAGCCTTGGTGGGGGAAAACGAGCCTCAGACAGGAAAAATTCACGTCTCGTTTCCCCCCCCCAGAAAAGCTGCTGTGGAATAGAAATCGCTTTGTCACGGAGGAGCTGCTGCCACTCGGCGCGTGCCCTTCCCCGTGTTTAAAACGCTGCGGAGCCAAAACCAAAAATATCGATGTCAGCCCAGACACCGAGACCCTCCGGCCCCCACCTCTCGGCCTGCTCCAGGCTGTTACACAAAAACTGACTTCCTTAGGAGCGGCTGCAACCGCAGTTTCCTGTCCGTTAACCCTCTAGGACTTGGTGGCTTTTTAAGGTTCCACGCAGGCCCTAAAAACAGAGATTTCTCTGCGTGGCAGCTTATCTGTCTACCCCCACAAAAACACGGCGTTTCAGGTGTTTTTGCCCTGCCTTTTTACCTTCTACTAAAACGCTGCAAATGAAACAGAGTGAGAAAACGGCGTGTAAGCCACCGGTTTGATCTTGGGCCAATTCCCAAGCTTTTCATTAAAAAGTGTGATTCTGTTCTCTTCCCTGATGCAGTGAAAGTGAGAGGATTTATCACTATGCCAGGAAGGTAGAAACTCTTAACTCCAGATGAAGATTTTAAAGGTTAAATCTTTAGAAAGGGCCTTCACATTATTCTTCAGTATTTTGCATCTATATTATATAGCTCAATATTATCATTCTATAGCCATGAACAGATTACAGTGGAAACCACAGATGAAAAGGTGATTGTGAAGCATATTGAGTATAATCAAAGGGTTATTCATTAAACAAAAACCAAAAAACAAATGAAGTTGTAGAGGGAGAAGCTTAATATTGGAACAATAATTATTAAATAATGAGCTAAAATAACCAAAGCAAAATAAACATTCTTCCAACACAGCATGCAGGATTGTGCAAAACCGACTATAGAAAACTCTCTTACATAAATCTACGACAAGACTGCAGACAGAATGTGCACTTTGCTCTACCTTTAATCCAGTGCTAATGATCCCAGAAACAATCACTGCAAATAAAACTAATGCCCTCCCTTACCTCCATACAGCACCTTTCATGATATAACTACTTTACCACACAAACCTCTCTGCTTGAGAGCCGACATGACTCACAACTGTGCCACTCAGTAAAATTAATCATCCTGCTCTGCATTGTCCCATAGTGCATTCAGATTATTTCTTGAGATAGCATTGTCACAGGGAAACTGCCAAACCAGCCTATCCCTGTGCTTACAGCTTTTGTGTTTCTGCATTTTAGGCTGCAACAGCGGATTAACAGCCCAGAGTATAAATTATCATCTCATAAGTAATTCTGGAGTCCCTGCTGGAACCATTTTCTCTTTTTAGATTTGGCAACGCTTTTCAGGGCAGGGAGCAGGAAGCCTCGTGGATTACACTGGCCGTTTGTTCTGATTTAGGAATGTAGCAGAAACTAGGGAGAGTGCTGCTATAAAGGGAGTCATACAGCCCACTACAGCAGCAGGAACACACTGCAAATTCATGACATTCAGTGCATACTTGCATCAGTTTTAATAGTTCAAACCATTCAAGACAGGTTTCTTTCTAATTGCACACCTAAAGGCCCTGTGCTGCTCGGAGTTATCACCCCCAACACACAAACATCCACATTTGATTCCTCCTGGCAGTAATTGTGAGGATTGTCAGTCATTAACATTTATGCTCATTGTTTGACTGCTCTATTCTAACATTATTCTATTAAAAAAAAAAAAATCCTAATCCCTATGAAGTTCAGGACGAGAACAAAACTAAATACACAGAATTTGTCAATGCTTTGTTGCTAACCCAGCCCCGACTCGGGGAATGCTGTAATGCTGATGGTGCCTGGGAACGCTGCCAAGCTGACACACTTGGGCCTATCAAGCAGAATGAGCACACAGCAGAGAGGGAGAGGCAGCAGCAGCCTTAGGAAAGGCCTGAGGTCCCCAGTCCTCTCGATTCGAGGAAATGGTGGCCCAAGTACAAAAGAAAAATTTACAAACCTTCAGTCATTAGCAAGAACAAAACGCCAGAAAGCACATCGGGCATATAGAGCACGTGTATTCAGCCACTCGGCTGCTCTGCTAAAATAGACAAAAGAATTCTGTCAGCAGTCAAAGGGGAAGCTTGAAATTCTGTTTATTCTCTTGTCCACACACTTATTTTGCAGCAGGAGGCACAACCGGAAAATACAGATTTTTGTGTTAAGTCACCACGATTGCATGTCCTGCTGCAGCCTGACCAATTCTTTTACGTAGGAGTAGTGAAGGGAAAGAAAGGTAGAGAGAACAGAAAAGAGAGAGAGGTGAAGCTAAAAGCTTTATTAAAGCAGAAGAGAGGGTATAGGTTAGATTAGCTTCTATTTATTCTTTTCAGTGCTTTGGAGATGTTAAGGGAAAACAGGGCTGTGAGGCAGGGGAAAAAAAGGCTAAAAAGAGAAACCAAAGGAAAGACAGAAAGCACAAATTCAGTCAGAAGGAAATTAAAACACAGCAATGTGAGAAGTACTACCCACTATATTTAGAGTTCTTTGGAAAGAACTCTGCCTGCTGTGCAGCATTTCCAGAAAGCACACACACTCTTCAAGCACCACAGTGTCAGAGGGGACTGTACTACAGAATATATACTGAAAGCCTCCAAAATTAAACAAATGCCAGTAAGGAAGAGGTCTGGCTCTATGACAGAAATGAGGGGTTGATATGTACCCCTCCCTGCAGGGGGTGAATCATCACTGAGAGAGGGAACAGAAGGTGATGGACAAAAGACAGAGCATTTTGAATAGATACACAAGAGGAAATGGGAAACGTCATACTTTCCGAGGATAAAAATAAATAAATAAAAACAGGGGAAAGAAGCTGCGTTAAGTGTTTGTAGCTTGCTCATGAATTTCCAAGTAATTGGCTGATAACCCTAATTTCTAGAGTAAGAACATGAAATACTGTGATTCTGTGTCTTCCAAGAGCTTTTTTCTATTTTCCCCCTTTTATCCTGAATCAGATAAAGTATCAGTAACTGCTTAAAGACCAGAAAACTGCTGTCTGGCACAGAATGCAACAATAAATTTCTAAAAAGACAGCTCCCGAATTTTTAAGAGTCGCCTGGATGCTAAAATTAGTGACCTGTCAAAGAAGGTTGGTAATTTTGTAAATTATCAGAAACTACTGGAAAAGGTGTCTGTGCACAGCAGGCAGCTGATTTGCCCATGAGCTTAAAAGGCTTCATAGCCACATGCATGCACTGGTCCTTCTGAACAACAGCCTTGAGTACTTTTGGTTGACATTACTTGTTCTGGATTGCAATGGTCACTCACTGTCTGCAGATTAAAAGCTGATTTGGTTTGTGCTGTAACAAACTGAATATCTGGTACCTTATGAAAGTTTCTCTTGACAGCCATTTTTAGCGTGCTGTGCGACTGCCTCGTGTAGGTTTCCTTCTAAAGGAAATCTCCATTCATGTTCAATCATCTGCCAAAAATACCTGGGGAAAAAAAAAAAGGAAAGCATCTTTGAGCCCTTTAACAGCTGCAGCTTTTTAAAAGAGGTGCTACAGCCAGTGTTATCCTAAGGCATGAGCCCACATATTTCATCGCTTTCCCCCCCACTTTGAACCAGCCTCTCCAGGATTAAACAGCTGGGCTGTTGAATATCCTGTATAAAACAGGATTTTCGTTATTATATATCTAAATTATACGTTCTGTATTACAGGCCTAGCAGATCTAATTTCTTTCATGTTTCATGTGCAGGCAAATACTTTCCCAGTTCCCCAGAAAGCAGCTGTGAGGCACATGCAGACATTCTGCACGTCAGGCCTAAAGGGTACCCACCACCCAGGTGAACAGCACCTGTGTAGCAAGTGGATATATCACCCCTACTCTGTGAGAACACGAGTCCAGCTCACTGCTCATGGAAGCCCTGTGGCCATGAGAATGTAAAGATCCTGCACCAGACCAGGGTACAGAATCCTGAGAGAAGTCTGTGCTTCACCAAGGGATTCTAATGCCCAAGTGGGAGACATCTCATATATAGCACTTACTGTGGCATAGGATCCTTCCCAGGGAAACAAAAGAAAGTCACTGCTGTTAGAGAGGAATTATTTAGGACTAGGCCCGGATAATGCTAAACTCTAATCCTACTACTACGATTTCTTTTTCTCTTCCAATATTTTCTCATTCAGGAATTGGTTAACAGTAATCAGGTACATGACTTTTTTTTCTTGTTTTGGTTTGTTGTCACTGTTTGTTTTTTAATAAAATCTGATGATCTCCCAAAAGGCTTCCTCAGCTAAAGGTCATGCTAAATATGTGAAATGATGGAGTTACAAAAATAATGTTACGCATGCATGTAAAAATAAAGTTATTACAGTAATTTTTCCTCTCCTAGGCTTCTATCTTATCACAATCCACTGCAAATTCAGACTGTCACTCTCACTTTTAATGTCTTTCATGCCCCTCCACACCCTAAATTTGCAGTTTGGCTTCAGCTTTAAGGCCCTGCGTATTCACACCTTTCTCGCCCTTATGTGCTACTCCAACTGCTATTTCACCTCATTTTTGTGGTTTGCCTCTCACCTCTTTCTTTTTCCACCACAAGTGTGCAGTGCAATCACTTTCAAAAAGACTTCACCCATAGTTTCACCAACTTGTTGGTTTTTTTTTTAGTTTTCAGTCAGTTGTACTGGCTTAAGCATCTCACCCTTCCTTCCAGCCACAGCTCTCAGCTCAGTCCACTTCTACCAGAACTATCTGTATGGTGACATGGAGAACAGGATCAGGGAATCAAAGATTTACTGTGATAACTTTAACCAGGAAAGGCTCCAGTTCACACTTGTTCCCAATCCTGCTGCAGTAACAGTTGTAGTGGCGCGACTGAGAGCAGGCACGAGCAGCTCCAGGTGATTTAAACAATCACTACCACCACAAGAAGTTTCTGTGAAATTATGTGGTCAAACACTGCACCCACATTTTCATCACATTTGCGTTATTAACTAGCTTTTCCCCCTGTCCAAATGGCAGTGTAGATCTGTCCTTGTCTCTTCAACCTTCTGAAAGGACAGGAAAAAAAAAAAGTCTTTGGAAGAGAATCAGGTCCCTGAAAAGAAGCAACAGTTTTCCAGCTGTGGCCTTGCCTTCCAAAGCCAGGTGACAGCCTGGCCTGTAATCAGCACACTTCACTCACATTAGGTAACATTTGCATAAACTGTTGAATTCATTTTAGCACCTTTACAGATTGTTATTTTCCATGCACTGTTTCACTTAGAGCCGATGTTTACTTAGTTCCCCTTATCAGGTGACAGTGAGGCCACTCCTGAGTTAATGCCACCATAAAGTTGTTTCCAACAGTTGTTTTACTTTGCTTACTGTAAAGAAATCAACACTCACATCAAAAAAAACGTAATTCTGAAAGAGCAGAACAAATCATGCTGTATCTATCCTACTTGCCACTAACGAAATCAAATCCAAGTGTTAAGTAAGTACACAAATTATTCTTTTGGACTGGTCACATAGTTATTACATGAACTTCAATACTTCTTTTAAAGCCACAATATCCTAATTTGAGATTAGAGTGGACAGATGTCACAGACAGGGGAATCAAAAGTGAAGCTCTGTGCAACATTTCAACCACACTAAGAGCAACAGAACAAAAGTACAGGCAAATAAATAGGTTTTCAGGTAATTAGTTCTTTGCATTCCTGTGAGCAAAATGAACCTTTGAGCACTTGCCCTGTTCTTCTTTTCTGTGTGAGAGTCTATGTTAAAACCAAG